CGCGCGGCGCACCGCAGCACTTCCTTGGACTTGCACCCCTCCCCGCTCCAGAACCCCTACCCCCTCCACCACCCCCCGAATGGTTCCGCCCTCACGAGTAGCAAAAACATGCGCGACGAAACCTTGGTCGCGTTTCATCCCTCCCTCCGTCCCACAGGCCGCGCGGCCGCAGCGCAGCCCCTAGGTGGAGCTCTGCAAGGTCGGCGCTCCCTCGGCCGCGTTCGCGACCCCTGCAGCCCCGCCAGCCGCCCCCTGGACCAAGACGCTCCGGCACTAATCCGGCCGTGACTCGGTTAGGTTTCGCCACGGAGGTCCTCCTCCAGAGACACGGAAAGGGAGCAGACCCTCGGGCGGACTGGCACGCCCCGCCACGCCCCGCCACGCCCTTAAGGCTGTTAACACCCTGTTGAGTGCGGAGTGCTGTGGCGTTAATTTGTAACGCCCTGCTCGGTAACTTGGTCCATACCGCGCGGCTGGAGGCTGGCTCTCTGCTCGGCTTCCCCTCAAGGATGCCACTCATCTTGCGCAACAGCCCAGCCCAGGAGCACGCAGTATCGTCCAAGCAGGCGCATCCTGGCATATTCATTTCATACTGACTTTGTCATATGTAAGACTACTCTGGCACCAATGAAATAAAAACACTGGTTTTTATTTACTGTCAGTTACTTTTCCCATACAGAACCTGCAATAAATGAGATACTTACGAGCTCCCCTCAGCAGCAGCAGTTACTCTTGGCGTTCAGACAGCGGCCCTTCACGGGAAAAAGATTCGCTGAGTCAGCTAATATATTGACTGGTATATGGACAGACAAGCAGACTTGTGTAACCACAATATTGTCTCTACTCTAATCAATCATTGGCTGAGCCAGTCAAAGATAAGTTGTATGAAATAATGAATTGCCTGCATCAGTAAGGTAGACCTCGACTGAGCGACTGAGGTAGGGAGGGGATAAGCTCATACAGCTAATTTTTGACTGGCACAGCCAATGATTAACCAGAGTATACAATATAGTGGGTACTGTAGAGTATGTGCTTGTCTGTCCATATACCAGTCAATGTATGAGCCGACTCAGCCAAACTTTATTTCTTTTCCGTGTTCTCGTACTGTCCCCGATATTGATGCGATACTAACGAGCGCAGTGCTTTCTCTTCTAGGGCAGCAGCAGCAGTTCCACTTCGCGTTCGGACAGCGGCCCTTCCTGTCTGGCCACTTCGGCTCGCCGCTAGACCCGCTGCAGAGGGCGGACCCGCTGGGCTTCAGGGTGCCGTCCATGGCCAACTGCAACAGTGAGTACGACAAAGTTTGGAGGAGGGGAACGATGTCTTAATTATAAGACAAGAAAAAGGGCGAAGTGAGAGGGGATAACCTTTCCAGCGTTCGACTTTGACATGTCACAGTTATTAGTTGTTGTCAAAGCCGGGTGCACAGAGGGTGGGCAGGGCGGGCATAAGGCCCCCGTGCAGAGGATGACACGCCACTAGATAGGTCAGAGGTGGCCGCCTGCTTCGCAACGGCAGCAGCAGCAGGGGAAGTTCACGAATTAGGCAAAGGCCAGGGAGGGCTAAAGGGGAGGGAGGGGCGAGGGCCAAGAGTGGAAGGCCGAGCCTGGCCGGGCAGCGCCAGCGTCGTGACCCGCTGCTTAGTCGGCCGGGCCCAGGCCGGGCTAAATAGGGATTTCAAAGTTTGCAAAGCGGAGCCGCCGGAGGCCAGCAGGGCCGTGCCGGCCGCCCCTAAGGGCAGCCAGGGGTACGGTCATTGAGGAGGCCCTCCAGGATTAGCGTGGCCGTGGCCCTGCCGCCATGAGGGGCACGAGAGGCAGAGGGAGAGGGAGAGAGGGAGAGAGGGAGAGAGGGAGAGAGAGAGAGAGAGAGGGAGAGAGAGAGAGAGAGAGAGAGAGAGAGAGAGAGAGAGAGAGAGAGAGAGAGAGAGAGAGAGAGAGAGAAATCGATCCGAACGCCTTTTCTTTTACCCGCAGGGTAGCGCGGGGCGTGTGGGCGGGGGCCCCAGGCGCGCTCACCTGTGGGCGAGCCGGCTCATTCCCAGAGGGTCTTTTGTCGGATAGTTGGCAGCGCTGTGTAGCACGCTGACAGCGCGCCGCGTCCCCGCCCCGCCCGCCACGCCCCCGCACAATGATACGGGACGTATGCAAATTGCGGGACGGGGGTGGCATAGATCAATGTAGTAGTCGGAGCACGCTGTAGTTGTGTCAGACAGTGCTAGAAATGAGGGCGTCCCACCCGGAGCCCTGCGCACGTGAGGGACCCGACACACTCGGCCAGGGAAATAGATCCCCTCCCCCCTTCCTAACGGACACGTGAACAAAAAGGGGCAGAGCTTGGTGAAAATGCGGCAGGACACAAAACGAAATGTTTTTGCGAAGTGATGTCCTTTTCACGGCCCTCTGTAATTGAGGTCAGGTTTACTCGGTTACGTGTTATCGTGTGATAAAGTTAGCCCACTATCATATTTTACCACCGCGGGGATACGTTTTATCATTACCTCCCGAATAGTTCTAATTCTACAATCTCAAGTACAAAGAAAGGGTCATGAAGAAAGTACCCGATTAGGTGACGTTACGGTTTGTTGTGCGCCATCAAGAGACAATGCAACAACGTTCTGTTTTGTTTTCCGCAGACATGAGCGGCTTCGGCCTCACGTCGGCGGCGCCCCACTGGGGCTACTCGACGGCCAACCCCTACTCGCCGTACCTGGGCCAGGGGCTCACCTCGTGCGCCGCGGGCTCCGGCTTCAACACGCCGGCCATCGGCTTCACCGAGAATCACACCGAGTTCGGCTCCACCAGCACCGTCTCCTCCAGTGAGTCGTCACGACTTTGGTGTTCCTGATGCGATCATCATGTTTGCATTCCCCAAAACTGACCGCCGTCTTTCTTCCTTCGCAGTCCTGCCGGAGACGACGGGCGGAGTGGCGTCGGACCTGGAGCAACAACTGGGGCTCGTCGCCTCGCCAGCGCCCAACAACATCATCCACCACACCAACATCCCCAACAACAATAACAACACCTCCACGACCAACAATAACAACAACAATAATAACACGAACAACAACAACGGCCCCGCCGTAAGCCCGCTGGGCAGGGCCAGCTCACCGCTAAAGTACCCGGACTACGGCTTCGCGTCCGGCCCGAGGTCGCTCTCCGACTCCTCGCAGGTAAAGCCCATACGCCGCATGGAGTCCCTGTCCCGCGTGACTCTGGCGCCGCGACTCTGCGACGTCGTCCGCGGCGTCACCCCCTTGACGCTGTCCCTTCAACCCTTTGCATTGTTCTTTGTCGCAGGCCGAGTCGCCCCTGGGCAGCGAGGAGATCCTGCCGTCGCTGGGCAGCAACGGCGCCAGCAACGTCCTGGGCAACGGGCTGAGCAACCAGGTCAGCAGCGGCGGCGGCGGCGGCGGCAGCGGCAGCGCGGGCTCGGTCCCCAACAGCATGCTCATGAGCGGCCACCACCAGGCGCCCAGCGCGTGCAACGGCGCCGCCTCCAACCTGTACCTGGGCGCGCCCGTCCTACCGTCCGCCTCGGCCATCCTCTACTCGCAGCTGTACTCGGCGGCCAGCCACCAGAACTCGCACCAGTTCCACCCCCTGCACCACCACCACGGCAGTCCGGACCTGCTGGGCTCCGCCTGCCTCCCGCAGCAGCAGCAGCAACAGCAGCAACAGCAGCAGCAGCAGCAGCAGCAGAGGCCGCCGGGGGACAACAACGCCGTGTGGAGGCCGTACTGAGGGCGACGAGAACGTCTCGGACAGTCGGGAAGAGAAGGGGGAACACAAAACTTGTGATACACTGTAAATTTAAGAAAGTTACTTTTCCCAGCGCGTGTTTTTTGGCAGCCCCGCGCAGGCCTAGTGATATTGTACATTTGTTGTGACGGGTTGGAAATGCATCCTCACGACGAAGCCCCCGGGGGCGATGCGGCTCGCGTGGCCGGCCGAGCTGGGCGCGCGGCCGCACAGACCGCGCCGACGGCACTCCTGTGCTCGGCGGGGAGCGCATCGGAGCGCGGCCGCGTGGACTTGGCCTAAGGATGGACTTGTAACCACGAATCATTTTGACTTGTAAATAATTGTGTATACGACGTTTTGTTTCTTTTGCTAAATATTGAGGATGATCTATATAAATATATATTGTTACGTTATGTTGTTTATGTTTAAGTTGAATTAATAATAACTGTCTCTATCCTTTTAAAAAAAAAATACCAAAGTGCTGTGTCCGTTTCGCAATATACCGGTCCGTTACCCGACATATCTGCAGAGCAGCGACATATCAAATGCGGTCCGGCCAAAGCCTCGCGTTGTACTCTCCTGAAGGAGACCGTGCGGCCAGGCTTCAAACGAGAAAGAGAGAGAGAAGTAATCTGTGTAAGCGCAACGCCAAAGGGAAATAAAACTCCATTGATTTTACTCGGCCCGCTCTCTTTTTTCTTCCAGCCTTTTTTTCATCCCTAAAAATACTCCGCGTTACCCTCACACACACTCGCACGCACATTTCCGAGGGATTCCTCCGGACGAAAGAATGCTTGTCAGAGGCACGCCTCGCGAGGTGCGGCCGGGGCCGAGGCTAGGAGGTCCAGTCCGGCCCGTCTGTGGCCGAGGCCGTATGCCGCAGCTCGCCAAAGGAAAAGAAAATGCGAACCCCGCCAAGCGAAATGCGTTGAATTCCAGAGCCGCATCTGAGCCCGCCGCTGCGCTGCGGTGTGCGCGCCCGCCAGAGCGGAGGTAGGCAGCCCGCTGCGCACCGCGCTCGCCAGGAGGCCCGCCTCGCAGGGGCGCAGCCCGGAGCAGGAGCCTGGACTGGACTCGGAAGGGGAAGGGGTCCCAGGGATAGAGTGGGACTCACTCTTACTCGGTCTGATTTCCGGCCTACTCTTACCCGCGCCGTGGAGCAGGCCCCAGGCCCCGCACTAATTGCTAGCAATGCTCTACAAGGCGGCGCACACGCAGTGCTTGCAACTTTTAACGGCCCCGAGCGGCAGCGTCCCCCCTTGCGCACCCTGCGGGTCCTAACCAGGTCCTAACGGCGCGGCCAGCGTCCCTCCGGGCCGCCGCAAGGGGCCCTAAAGCCGTAACGGCATCCGGGGGGCGGGGTAGAGCCAGAGGCAGAGCGAGCACAGGGGTCATCGCCGAGGGTCCTGGAGCCGGCGAGAGTCGTCCTTCCTGAGGGCGTTATTGGCAGTCGTATTAATAACTTGCTAGGCCTGTCGATGGGGCGTGGCGCGGCGCGGGATCGGCCAACCATCGGAAATAGTTTGACTGGGTGCGTGTGGCTCCCCCGTTATTACTTGCTGTCTAGACCAAAGTTGATTAGGGAAAACTTTGACCGGGATCGATGGGGGAGGCAAGGCGGAGGGCAACACGGCGGTGCGGGCGAGGCGAGAGTTCGCTAGAAAGACCCCGGGACGTATCGGATCGACCACGTCCACAAAACCATGGCCGGAAATGAGTACGGCGGCAACATCATCATTGGAAAACAAAGACATGATTTGTTTAATACGAATTGTAAAATATGGCGCGAGCACCATCAGCGATTTCAAACGTTTGGCGAAAATGACGAAAATACCGTTAAAGATGTTTGCAAAACCAATTAGCCATGACGGTCACATTTTCATCACTTTTTTTTAACAGTATGGTTTTGAAGTCTACGTTTGCACTCCCGCTCAAATGTGGGCGCATTGTCCGCACGGTGGGATTGGTAGGGATGGTGTTTGGATAGTGCCTTGAATTTGATGAGGAAATCTAGTCTCTCTGTCCCGCACTCTGCCCTTTGCCCCCCCCCCTTTCCTCTCCCGTCCTTTCCCCGGGGCACGTCATTCGACCGGGGGCAACGTACACAATGACCCTGCTCACCACTGTGCGCATGAGATATTCTCACTTATTGGATGTAAAGCGCGTAAGATTCCTCCATAGTGTTTTAGGATACTCGATCTCCTTCGTTCGCGTACTGTCAAAAAAATTAATTGACTAGGAAAGGACACCGAAATAAAATAGAAACCTTGATGTGAGGCTGGTACCGGAGAAGGATGGAGGACCGGGTTGAGGAGAGATACGCAACTCAGGTGGTTGGATGCCGCGATGGCTGCACTATATTTGATCGGTGGTTCAATATAGGACGCGGCCTGACCCCTCCGCTGATGATGCACCTTGGCCCTAGGCTGGAAGCCAGCGGGGCCAACAAGGCAGTCCCCTGCCATCTTAAGCAGTTAGTGAAGAATCCTTTGTGTTACAGTCTCACACCAAATGATGCGCGGCAAACCTACCGCACCACACTGTTATTCAAGGAATGTGACGTCACATTCGTTGAATAACAGTGCAAATAGTGTGAGACCGTCTGTGCCTCACACCATTTGGTGTAAGGAAGTATCACTCCATTTGCTGTGAGGTACAATGAGTCATTTGGTGTGAGCCTGCCTCAGTTTCACCGTTTTCAGGGAAGGCGTGTCGCACTTCCTATTGCCCTAAATACCTGGCGCGGTAAGATCCGGCTGACAGGGGGGACGGGGGCACTTTGTGTTGCCTACTGACAGGGGTTTTGTAGCACAAATTGCCTACCTGTCAGGCGGCTGACTAGTCGCGATTAGGGGGGGGGGGGGGGGGGGGGGGGGGGTCACCCCCTTAAACCTGCTAAATACCCATGTGGATTGTGGATTGATTAAGCTTGACACAATTCTTTCATCAGACGTTTAGTAGCCACATTTAGGAACTAGGCGAGTTACGTTTCGTAGCCAACACACAACTGCATCCAGCTTAGATAGACGTGTCTACACTGCAAAAAATTTTGACAGGTAATGCGGCTAATTCATTTTCCAGAAACGTCTGTTATTCGAATAACAGCATCGCTGTAGTTTTAATGGTAAAAATTTGGTACAGGGAGCAATGTACAGGACCACTGTACAGGCAAAGGCGAACAAAACTGTCTACAGTGGAGCCGTCTTCGTACACTGTGCCGTGTAAAACCTGGGCTTTCCGGTGCTACAGCAACACTGTACTCCGCGTTCTGTACCCTAGATGCAGTGGCTCAGAGCGGCACCTACAGTAACGCTGTATATCGTTCCATATCAGACTCTAATTTTTTGCAGTGTATTGAAAAGTCTCCACCGAGTAGTGACAATTAAGTCCTTCCATACAATAAAAGGTAGCACAGGGAAAACCGTGGAAAACCAACGTAAAATGATGAGAATAGTGTAAATCTTGCGAACGGTGTACCTCCGCGCCGCCAAGGTCCATGACGCCCCTTGGAGGGCTGCGATTCGCCGGGCCGTCGCGACGCGGGGGCGTAAGAGTCGCCTATAAGACGCCGGCCCGAGGAGGAGGGGTGGAGAAAAATGGCCAGCAAGGCGAGGCTGCGGGCCAGACTCGGGGGTCCCGCCGCGGGCGCCAGCCCCACCACGCCCCGCCACGCCCCAGCCCGACGCCCCAGCCCGACGCCCCCGAAGCACCACGCCCCACCAGCCCCACCGCGCCCACGGGGCCCCGACTCCCACCAGGCCAGTCACACAGGGGCGCGACGGAAAATGGGCGTGGACTGAATAAGTGTCGAGCCAACGCGGTGATAATAAGAAATTGCTATAGAAAATGATGCTCAAGAAAGTTATGGGAACCGAGTACTAGTTGCCAGAAAAATTATCGGCGACGCATTTATTTTGGAGTTACCGTCTTCCCTGCGGTATAGTTCCCCAAATTGGTACACTGTTTGTTACCCACCTCCAGGACACGCTCGAGGCCCAGCCCCGCTAGTCCCCGGGAGCAGAGTGGGAGCAGCCAGCCTTGTTTATGAGTCTGGTTCGCGTCGTGAATTTGAATTACAAGGCCGTGCCGCCGCCGCCGCTGGGGGGTCTTAAGGTGGCGCAACCCCCAAGGCGACCATATCGCAGATTTACGGCCGACCCGGCTAACTAACCAACTTCCATATCGGTTCGAATTATCAAGGCGGACGGTTAATTAGCTCTGCGCCGTACCTATGCGTTTAGAAAAAAAAATATGAATAATGCAAACGGAAATTGAGTAAGATGTTGAAATGGGCAAAAGGTCGATCAGAGGTGAGATTGATCGCGACTGCAATGCATTAACTATTTTCTAGCCGTTGGTGGTCGGACGGCC